TGGAAGCCATTTGATGTGTGAGAATTTTGAGATTCTAGCTGATCAGGTGTACGTGCCCCAAGTTCAAATGCCTCTTTCTCAAGATTGATTACTAAAAGGGATTATTAAAACATACGTAAAAATGCAAGAAAGCGTGAACCAAAACATTAACAAAATGCACTATGAAACCCAGCAAACACTCGACTTCCGGGACAAGCATTGAACTTCTGATGGCTTCCCCCGCGCCCGACTCGCAGCAAGGCTAAGCGCCTTCCAGGCTTCTATATTAGAGATCAGTGAGGTAGGCCTACCGCGCGAACGACGACCGTGCGTGCATAACATACTCTTGCAAGATGCGCCAGGGAACGGTGACACGATAGCACGGTAGAACAAGAGGTTTGATATGGCGGTCGGCTCAGAGCCGGGTAGCCACGGGCGCAAGGCACGAGTTCATGCGCACGAGCGACGGAGCTCTATCTGCTCGGCTGCTTAGTGTAGCGTTATCCAACATCCGCCGCCCCCCCCCCCCCCCCTCATACAGAAAGAGTCAAAGTCTTTGGGGAGCCTTGGCGCGACGGCCGCTTCTCGTGTGTGAATGAAGATTGCCTTCGCATTCTGTAAGTGTCTCTTGAACATCTTCGCTGTCAACGATTTCCGCATCCCGGACATTTACAGGAAAAGAAACAAGATGAGTTGGGTTACGTCGCACAACGCCGTTGTCAGTGTCCACGAAGTAAGACCTGAGTTCCTCTGCTGGTCTCTGCACTGTATTTTTCTGCTTGATGTCAGTGATCCAAACTTCATCTCCATTTAGGACTTCAGGCATTGCGCGTACGCTATGCCGTCAATTGAAGTCTTTTTCTGGTGTTCCCGGTATAGTTCTTCAAAGTCGCGAAGTTTTCTCATGTCTGGCATGTGGGGCATGAGCATCTCGGGAACAACAGGGAGGTTTTTTTTGTAAACATCGACCCATAAGTAATTCAGCGGGGCTGTAGCCGTTCTTCAGCGGAGTCGACCTGTAAAAGAGAAGGGTCAAGTACGGGTCTTTCGCTTTTTCCATTGATTTCTTGATGAATTTCACGGCTGCTTCTGGAAGTCCATTACTTTGGGGATAATATGGGCTTGAGGTGGTATGTTTGAACACGTATTCTCGAGCAAATGTAGCGGAGTTTGATGACGAGAACTGAGGTATATTGTCGGACAGTACCACCTCGGGAATTCCGCGGCGAGCGAAGATTGATTTGCAGTGGTTAATGGCTGTAAGCGATGTAAGCTTCTCAGGTCGTGCTATCTCGGGTACCTTGAGAAATAATCTGTCATGATTAACCACCAGTGACTGTTGAAGTAGAAAAGATCCATTGCAACACGCTGCCAAGATCGGTCAGGAAATTCCGTGTTTAGAAGCGGCATCTTGCGATTGCACGTGGTTTTGATGCATTCGTTGCATTGCTTTACTTTGGCAGCTGTCTCTGCAGCTATTGTTGGCCACCAGACACAGTCTTTTGCTCTTGCTCGTGTTTTCGTGATGCCGAAATAGCCTTCGTGGAGGAGGTGCATGATCTCTTTTCTGCACGAGACAGAAACGACGACACGGGCTGCATAGAGGAGCAAGTCGTCTTCTACGTTGAGCTGGTGTCGATGCTCAAAGAACGGTTTCAGGTTTTGTGACAAGTCTCTTCTGGATGACCACTCCTTTGAGCTTAGTTTTCGTAGCTGGTTGCACTGTGTCCGATGTTTAGCTTTCTTTTAGCCATTGTAGGCAATGGTCCTTGACTGGGATAGCTTTTTTAAAGGAACAGACGAAAGTTTCAACCTTTTTTTCAAGGTCTGTGTCCCCTGTCTGCTGTAGGGGTGATCGGGAAAGTGTGTCAGTGGCTAGTAGGTTTTTTCCTGGTACATATTCAACGCTTTACTGGTACCACATCATCCTAATCTTTAGCCTCTGGAGTCTGAGTGTCAATTCGTCAAGAGTTTTCGACATTAGGAGGGGAACGAGCGGCTTGTGGTCTGTCTCCAGCTTGAGCGTTGTTCCAACCAGGTAGTCCACGAACTTCCCGCATGCCCAGACTAAGGCAAGAGCCTCTTTCTTGATCTGCGCGTAGTGCTGTTCGGTGTCTGAGAGCAATCTTGAGGCGTACAAAATGACAGCAAACTTGCCATCTGTTTGTCGCTGCCGGATACGTGCGCCAAGTCCGAAAAAATAAAGCGTCTGCGCTGACGACTGTATCCTTTCCGGGGTCGTATACGCCCAGTACGGGACGGGAAGATAGTAGTGTCTTCCATTTGTTAAATGCTTGTTGCTGTGGAGAGTCCCAAAGAAACTCCTGCTCCTTCGACAACAAGGATGAAAGTGGCTGAAGAACCTCTGAAAGGTTTTGCACAAAGCGGGCAAGGTGCGTGGCCATACTCAGTACTTTTTGCAGCTCACTTTTGTTTGTCGGGCGTTTCATTTTCAGAATAGCTTCTACCTTCCTTTCATCGGGTCTGATGCCGTTGTAGCCTAGTTGATGGCCTAAGAACGTGAGCTTTTGGACGTTATATACGCACATGTTTTCGTTTAGCGTCAATACAGCTTTGGTTAATCGCTGCAGTACGGTGCGTAGTGTCTCGTTGTGTTCTTCTTCGGTTGAGACCCAGATGAGGATGTCATCCATGTGACAAACCACTCTGTTACCGCCGTGCAAAAGACTAGACATCTACTTTCGAAAGGGCTCTGGAGCAGACGATATCCCGAAAGGTGATCTGTTGAAGAAAAACCTCCCGAAAGGTGTAATGAAGGTGGTGAGCTTCCTGCTGCCTTCGTCTAGTGGAATTTGCCGAAATCCCGAAGTAGCATCTAGTTTTGAAAATATATTCGCGCCGTGGAGCAGTCCGAGTGTGTGCTAGACGGAAGAAATGGGATGCCATTCTCTCAGAACGTGATGGTTTAGACCAGTAAAGTCGACACAGATTCTCACCGATCCGTTTGGCTTGAGGACGACTACCATGAGCGCACAAAAGTCGGTTGGTTTGTCGACGGGAGAAATGACAGCGATTGTCTGCATTCGCTGTAGCTCCAACCTTGTTTTCTCGTACAAGGGTATTGGGATGCGGAGTGGAGAGTTGATACAAAATGGTTCCGCTCCATTGCGCAAGTGAATAAGGTGTTCTTTTTGCAGCTTGCCGAGACCTTGGAATAGTGAAGGGAATTCGACTTTCGGGATTACGTTCTGGGTGATGGAATTGACGAATGTGAGTATCTGCAGATCATTGATGGCGGGCTTTCCGAGCAAGGACGTGTGGATGTCGTGAAGCACGTAGACGTCTTGAATTGTTGTCCGGTCGCGGTAAGCGAGTTCGAGTCTTGCAACGCCCTTAGTTGCGAGAAGCTTTGGGTCTGGCCCATAAAGTTGACGAGGTGCTTCTGAAAGGAGAGGCTGACGTTTGAGCATTTCGAATGTTGCTTGTGAAAGGACGGTTTCGTTGGCGCCCGTGTCGATTTTGAACTTTACGGATTGACCTTGAACCAGGATCGTAGTCTCTTAAAAATCTCTTAAAAATCCTTGTTCGCTGTTGATTTTAGGCGCTTCAACGAAGTCAACTCGTCGAGACCTGCAAACAGACGAATAATATCCTTTCTTGCAGCAATTACGGCAAACTTTTGACCGCGCTGGGCATTGGGCTCGTCCGTGCTGCTGTTTTTCACATTAGCGACACGGTCTCTAAACGCCGCTCTTGCTCGAGCTTGAAGATGGCTTCACCTCTGGGTGAGGTCGTTCGTCGTTCGAGCGAGCAGATGTCCCAGAAGTCTTCACGAAACGTCTTTGGTTAACTCCTTGTTGACGCGCCGCGGCGACTTTGTTGACTGTCGACTTGTCGGCATTGAGCTCAGCTTGCTGCTAACGTACGCTTTCGACCTGTCGGACCGCCTCAAGTGCCTTCTGAAGCGTGAGGGCGGCGTCGACTGGAAGTCTTGCTGAGAGCTTCCGATCTTTGATACCTACTACTAGACAATCTCTGACGAGTTGTTCTTCAAGCTCGCCGTAGTGGAAGTGCTTCGCAAGTGCGTGGAGCGCCGTGACAAAATCTTTCGCAGACTCGCCTTCTTGTTGAACTCTCGTGTTGAAACGAGTTCGTTAGAAGATGACGTTTCGTCGTGAGATAAAATGCTTGTCGAACTGCTCCATGACGAATGTGTGCTTCTTGGCCTCCTCGGCAGACAGCCGGTACGTGCCATATATATCTTCTGCTTGGTGTCCCAGATGTAGAGCACCGCATCTATTTGGTGTGGATAGGGCTTGGCGATAAGTCCGGAGGACATGCGGAAATGTTCGAAACGTTTTTTTCCACTTTGGCCACTCGGTCGGCGATGAGAAGCAAAATGCTTCCGGAGGTTGTATGAAAAAGGACGCCATATGTTTTAGCGTAGCTGCAGCCGAAGATCCCCGAGAGCAAAGTCGCCTACCTTCGTGTGGGTCCCTGGTTGGCGCGGCGGTGCCCGCTGAAGAGTTCTTGAAATCGGCTCATCGCTGGCGGCATACCATTTCTGACACCATGTTGCAATGTGTGCAAGTCGTGTTGCAAGTTGCGCCAGGGAACGGTGAGACGATAGCACGGTAGGACAAGAGGTTTAATATGGCCATCGGCTCAGAGATGGGTACGTTCTAGCCACGGGCGTAAGATGCCAGTTCATGCGCATGAGCGACGGAGCTCTATCTGTTCGGCTGCTCAGTGTAGTGCTATGCAACACATACCACGGGATTGTACCGGCGACGTCATTAGATGCTAGAGAGCCTCAAGGAAGTGTTCATTCAACTTAAACCATGGAGTGCGTTTGCAATTTAATGGCGGCGTTAAAGATGGCGAATTTTAAGTTTTCTGTGTGTAAAAAATGCCTAACTTATCGGAACAAAAATGATGTCTATAGAAAAGACAGTGCCAACGAAGATGCTCGAGCCGAGGATAACGACGTTGACAACAGTAGTGTAGTGCCCAGCATTTACGACCGAAAAATGTCATCAATGTGTCTGACGAAGGGTAACATGTCGCCACAGCAGGAGGGGATGCTCACCAAATTACAAGATCGTAACCTGTTCTTTGGAGGAATGTCAAAAATATGTCCCCACAGCTTCAAGGGCTCAAGGTCGGTAAAACACCTGGCGACACAATGTGGCGGAATGTTGGACCTGTACTACAAGAAACGCCATGATGAAGTTGTCAGATGCCTTCACTTTCTTTACACCAAGAAGTATGGATTAAACCGGAGCAGTAAGCTCAAGAATTACAAGGTTGAAAAGGTAATATCGAATGATAGAATAAAGATAAAATCGGACATAAAAATGGAGACGGCACTGTCCCTTGAATACAACAAGCCCGACCTGATGATACATGACCGGAGAACGAAGGAAATCCCACTGGTTGAGGTTCGCATCACCAACAAGATCATCCTGGCCAAGACCGAGTTGCGAAAGTCTCGGAGATACGACGTACTGAAAAATGAGCTCAGGGTAATGTACCCCGGGTGCAAAGTAATTACAGTACCAGTGGTAATGATCTGGGATGGACTGGTGACAAGAAATTTTAAGGGATATATGAAACAGCTCGAAGTCACCGACAGGCTGCTGGCATACATGCAGTCGGTAGTCTTAAAGCGAACCTGCGAGAGCATCTTGGAAGACCGCCGAAGAATACAAATAGGGGACTGGCTGGAGGATGAGGTGGATGAAATGATGGCTCAGCTCGAGACTCAGCCCGCAGGGCCAAAACAAGGAGCTCAATTAATGACTAGATGAGCTTCGTCTGAAAGGAATTAATTTGACGCATTAAACAATTTCTTCGCGTAAAATTTTCAAGCATTTGTTTATATTCAGATTTACGTTGAAAAATCACCCGTAGCCCCGTAACCAACAGCGACATTTTTCAATTTAATGGCGCCCATAAACACATGCCTTGATCAAGCAGTTGAACACACTCTTACTTGAGGCTCTTAATTAGATGATGGCTGGAAGAAGACGACGACATGCCACCTGCTTTGGCCTCTATGATTTATTAAATACTTTCAGTAGATATGATGTATTACCGCTCGATAATAAATAAGACTCAGGTACACCATCCATTTCCGTCCCACGGTGAGCTTCTATAGACGGAAACAATTTTGTTCTTTCATGAAATTGAAGAACCCCGAGTTACTCGCTTATATTTGCCTACGTAAAGGGTACTATTAATATATATGCCCAAGCAAAAAGTGGCCACTTTCCGAGAAGAGTGCCCAATTCTTAGTTTCCCTTTTGTAGTAGCTTCTCATTGGCTGGAACGATTATTGATGCCTTGGGTGGGAGGAAGAGCGCTGTCAATCATTGTACCGGTGGCACCGATTACTTGAGGAAGACTCGTATGAATCTTCCTCCCATTATTTTGATTTTAGAGGAAAATGCTTGTTGTGACATGCGTGGTTTATTCGCTATGTTAAAATAATTTTGTTGCTTTGCAGTTGTTGAAGATGGGACTGATTTAGTAATTGCATCGATATTTAAAGGCAATGAGGTCCTTTTCAATCTTCTGTGTTTTTGCTTTCTATACCTTTTATTACAACCCTTCGAACAGCAATATTTTGGCTGCGAATAATTGTGTGTTCTAATTGCAGTTGTAATAACTTTTATAGCACTGTGAGGAACTGTGGGAGCTTTTATAGTACTTGCATTACTTTTTACAATGTGATAAACAGGAATCGCCTCTTCCACAAGCTCAAATCTGGGGGACACGCTACCACAGTCGTGATGAAGCGCTCACGCATCTTTTTGCTGCAGATTATACTTCTGAGCATGGCCAGCAATGACGGGGCCCATATGCTGGACGAACCACAGGACGCCACGGAATTGATCGTTCTCGAGCCAACCACTGGAAAACAGTGGCTCCTGGGACCCATCTTGGTGGATTTCAAGTTGGGAGCATTAGGAGCCTGCCAACACTGGTCTTCAACTACGATGCCTCTACAAAAACCGCCATCCCACGCCAGTCATTCGATTCACGCTACCACCGCCATGATGGAGCGCTCGGACAACTTTTTGCTGCAGGTTCGTTATTTGAATACTTCAGCTTGCCGTCGTTCAAGCAACTATTGTCTGCTAGTGGTATCCTGCCCCAGTACCTGGTTGTGCCATTTTTGTTGCGTGTGCTCTTGGTTCGGTCGTCCAAGAGCTGCGCTCCAAACAAAAATGAATCGCGCATGAGGAACGCAGGTTGTAAGGGCATCTCTGCCTAACATAGTATACTCTGGCATAACAGTCAGTTTAATTTTGAAACTTCTACCACAAAGTAGACATACATATTCACAAAGTTTCCATTTATTTTCAAATATAGCCGGCACGCGTGCACCATCACGCGTTCAATGTACTATGCTTTTTTTTCCAAGCACGCGATTGCAATATTTCTACTTTCCCAAGTGTTTATCGTGGCGGGTTATCCCGCTGATTGCGCTTCTTACCGAGCATTGATGTAATGCAGAGAAGCAACACATGCGGAGCTCGCTCCCGCGGGTGCTGCTTCTCCGCAGTGCAATGGTGCTCGGTAAAAAGCGCACTCAACGGGACTAGCCCGCCGCAATCAACACTTCGAAAAACACGAATAGTGCAGTTCTTCTCAAAGCGAATATAGAATAGTGTATTATTCAAAACTACCGTTCGAAACTCCGAATATTCATACAACCGTACTAACACGTGATTAATTATGTCTGGGAGGCACAGTTGGCAGTAATTTCTGCAATTAACTCGTGACAGCAGTCTTGAAGTAACTCATTGGGCGCGGCAATTCTGTCTCCAAATGAATTTTTGAACTTCTTTTGTTAAAATGGTTTTGTATCATAAGTCACAAGTTGGTTTCAGTGCTTAGTGCTCGCCAGAGTTCAGCTGAGGCTCCTTGAATGCGCTTACATGTAACTCAGAGCTTGCGGAAATTGGATGGTTTATTCTGTCATCGCATTCTGTTCACAACCTAACCACATTCTACACTTTTTGTTTTGTTTTCCATGTTCAGTAATTCTTCATATGGACTTGATTACTCAGAAAATTAGAGCTTGCCTTCCGCATGAAAGCTCGACATGGCCCTCTAATTATTTCTTAAGAATAAAGGTATGAACATGTTTTGCTTAATACACTTTATTGGGTGCTCTTCCTTGAAATTTCTAACTCAGTGTTTAAACAGCTGTTAATCTCTGGGATGCGCAGCTGGCCTTAACTCCCGAAGGTAACTTGGGTCCACAGCCTATACTTCGTCTCACCCTATGATGGACTAAAGGCAAAAGCTACGGACCGCCAGATCCAATCACGAGCTACAGGGGACGGGTGAACAGTGGTTCGAATCGAAGAGCACTTAGTGACTCAACAACTTTACATCGCAAAGAAAGCCACGACATAGAGGCTCTTTGCAGCGTTGAAGCTATAGAAATAATGCGGCGCTTTTGGATTCGAGCATTATACGTCCACTTCTAATCAATGTTAAGCGTGTCATAGTACAGCGCGTAACGTGATTGGACCTGGCGGCCTGTGGCCTTGGCCTTTAGTCCATCGTAGGATGAGACAAAGTATAGTCACATTTCCTGGGCACTAGATATTTAATTTGAATTGTTCCCGCTTTCAAAATTAGTTTAAGTTACGGACCACAATCTGGCTAATTTTGGATGCCGGAACGATTTCCGTCGTTACACATCACGGGCAGCTCAGTCATTAAGTGTTACGATTTCCTGCCGTCGCAAGTTACGGACAACACGCCAGCTAATTTTTGATGCCGGAACAATTCCCGTATATGTAGATCAGGTGCATGAAAGTTACGTTTTTCTGCCATGCTTCTACGGGTAAAACTGTAGGGCCTTATTACTGTCATGCACGTAATACCTAGTTAATGCTGTGACCATGATGCTACACAACGGAAATTGTACCGGCATCAAAAATTAACTGGCAATTCCAGTAATTTGACGGGATTTGTTTTATAGTGTAGATACTACCCAGGAATTACATTTGCTTCTTGTTTGCTTTGCAACCTTCTCCGTTGTATAGCAGCTTAGTAGTACCACATTACATATTATAGATTGCTTAGTTTGTACTTGTCTACAGAATGGGCTGTGTGTAATAAGCTTCTAGGAGATTTGAAAAAATATATTTCTCATGTCTGTTTACCTGCCCTTTTAGCAAAAACCTGGGTGAACGCATTTTTTAAGGGTTTACTCCATGTTTTAAATGGATTTATAATGTTTGACACGTCTTAAATGAGTCTGAGATGCCCTACCTTCTTCTATATCTAAATACATGTCTGTTTTGTAAAGGGGTCACGAAACGATTTTCCTACTTCTTCCTCCCTAGCTTTAATCCTCAACTCAAATGCGAATTGTGAAATCACGTGCTCGTGACATTCCTTCGGCACCGGTGCGATGACTCCTAGCTTCCACCGTGCTTTTTATGCACACCATAGAACTTGTCATTCCCCAGTGACAATAAGTTCCGCCAGGGCACTCATTGGCCACGAACGCGAATCCAAATATTCGTCGACGGATTGATTGTTGACGAGTGCATACGTCCGAGTGACGCAGTTCTCGTGTCCAATGCCTGAGCTGGGCTCTGCTGACGTCAGATTGGCGCCGGTGACGCGCTTTTAAAACCGCGGATGTATCATAGTGAAAAGGTGGAGAGCTCTCGAAGGCAAGAAGGTACAAAATAGTACGCTATATTTTGAAATGCTCGTACCGAAAAGCTGGCTTTTGACTTTCTAGCCTCTTTCTTTTGGCCAACTAAACGATATGCGATTAGTAAAGTCCCAATTTAAAATCATTCATCCCAACCCAAAATTCGTTTCATGGCGCCTTTAAGATGTTGAGTGACAACAAATAATTTGTTTCATATTTCATACGATTGCGGTATAATGCCCTAATGTTCCGACCACTCTCGCAGTGGAAGTTGCAGAAACACGCCTGCGTAATTATTCCACACTTTCGTCAAGGACATCTCTTAGAGTTGAGGATATTATTATTCTTTGGCGTTTTTGTCTAAGTGAGTCAGATATCACCTTCCGTGGACAATTCTATCGTCAGATTGAGGGTTGCTCAATGGGTAGTCCGGTATCTGTGACCTTGGCTGGTGTGGTAATGGAACACATAGAGCAAACCACGTTAGAAGAAAAAGCATGCCCTGTAAAATCTTATCGACGTTAAGAGGATGGCACTTTCGTTATTTTGAATGAAGATCACGCCAAGGACTTGCATGCAACCCTAAACATCATTGAACCCTCCATACAGTTTACGCGAGAAGTAGAACGAAATAACACGCTACCTTTTCTGGACGCAACTGTTTGCTGAAGTGACACCGGTCAAATTGGAACCACCGTGTATCGTAAACCTTGTGATACCGGTAATTTTTTTTAGTTTCAATGCTCACTACCCTGTGGAACATAAGCGAGTTGTTGTAAGAACTCTAATTAGCCGTTCAGAACGTTTCCTTTCAAATTGAAATTTACGAGTATCAGAAATTCAGACTGTTGTCGGATCCCTTTTGAGGCGCGGGTATTCACAAGGTTCTATCGAAAACATGCCCAAACAAATGCAGCAAGAAAGAACAAAAGCAACTAGTAATTACAAAGCAGGCGTGGTGACTCCCTTATGTAAAGGCGCCTCAGAATCTATTCGCCGGTCCCTCCTTCCATTAGGTATACGAACAGCTTTTTAAACCCCAGATAAAATTACGTGACCTCATTTCAAAGCCAGAGGATTTAACCCCTCCTGAATCGTAAAGTGGTATTGTATATAAAG